TGTCAGTGCTCATGATGTTATGGCCAATCGGTGTATTGTCTATTTTAAAAATATGAATACGAATTATTTTCACTATCTTCCTGACATTTTGGTAACAAGCACTTACAGATAATGACAAATATGTCCAGGACCTGCTGACAGAGGTGTACAAACTCTCCAAGAAAGAAAGACTGAAACAGACATAGTGGCTGATTACCCAAGGAGATGTTGAGGAAAGACATTACTTCCCTTTTAAATACGATTCTTAGCTGTTTCACAGTGCTAACTAACTGTGCTCTTCTCCTTCGACATGAAAACTCTCTCTCCTGCTCAGCCCTTGCCCCTGTGCCTTACTTTTCTGTTACTGTTTTCGATTCTCTATCCATCTTCATCCGTCTTTCATTCCTGCCTGCCTCTCTCTCTCCCTGCTCTTTTTTTGTCTCTTCCATTACTTCTCTCTCTCTCTTTCTCCATAGTGTCAGATAGATTATTCCGCCAGTGAGCACACTGCAGCCCTGTTTTATTTATAGCACAAGGCTCTCCTAGGTCTGCATAATACATACAGTCTACATCTACACACACACACACACACACACACACACACACACACACACACAGTATTTCCCTACACACAAACACACAGAATACATCCAGCAGGGAGACACACATACAGCCTCTGACTGTCTGTTTCTCAGAAACACTGACATACATACATATAAACACACATACAAACACATATGCAGCCTACACCCCAGAAGGTCAAAGTTCAAAGACACACCCATCCCCTGAAACACAACTTGGTGCGATTCAGTTAGTGGGAACACATCACATACAGTTTATGTATACAGTATATAAATAATCTGTATACATTTGAACATACATTTGAACATACATTTGAAATACATTTTGCATTTGAACCCCTAGAATTTCCTGGTGGAAATCAATAGTGAAAATAGAACATAACAGCAGAAGGTCTGAAGAGTCTGTGAGGAAAAATGAGAAAGCTTTTGACAAAAAATGGGCCATAACAGCAAAAATCCTCAGACCATTTGCATGCACTTCTTAGACGGCCCCTAACTTCAGCTCCTCAGTTGATCTAACATTACATATATGTTTTGCACCCCCCAACGTTTAATGCAAGTCAACGCCAACGTCCATACAAAGGAGACACAACGGCACACCACAAGGACTGCAAACAACTGCTGTTAATGTTCACAGCTGTTTGAATGTTGTGTGATTTTGTTTTTCTGTAACTGTTTCACTACTTCTCCTGTTACACAATAAAGGTTGAAATTAAAAAAAAAAAACACAGTTGTGGTGGCTTTTTAAATCATGTACAGTAGGTATAATTATACCATGTCTCATCACCTTACTCTCGGTGTCTGTCTTTGTTTCTTTGCCACTCTCATTATCTCTCTCTCTCTCACACACACACACAATGATGCACAGATAAAAACATACATGGATACACACATACACACATCCCTGGCGGCAGCTGTGTTGGCCTAGTTGTGCGTCTCAGTTTAACTCAGCACTCTCCTCTCCTTCTGCCTCTTATCTCTGTCATCACAGAGAGAGAGGTGAGTGAACGAAGGAGGACGCGAAGGGAAAAGGAGCATAGTGGTTAGGGAAGAAAGCATTACGAAAACAGGGGGAATGGTAGAAGAGACGAGACAGAGAAAGTTGGAAGGATGAAAGAATGAGCGAAAATAGTGAAAGCACTGTAGAAATAACTGGATGGATAAAGCGGAAGAAAAATGCAGAGAAAAGAAAAAGCAAGTGATGAAAGCATGATGAAAGTCAAATAAACACACTAAAAGTCAGTCGGCATGACTGAACTTTAGGCACGCGTGTAAAATGTATTTTTATACAAACATGAAAACACAGCAATCTGTAACAGCCAGTACGCTGTGTCCTAGTCCAGTCTGTACAGCGGTGATTCTTCTTTGTAGAAGGTTGTCACACATTTACACTGAGCCCTTGTTCAAGGTCACTGCAATGTCACCAAAAAGGAAATTACATTTTTCTGTGTTTATATGATATATCTCAGGGCATGGAAACAGTCTAATCTCATCTTTACAAGATGCATTGATAGTGGAATTATCTGTCCTCTTTGCCATCATTTTACAAAGTACTTGTTAAGAGTAAATTGCTTTTTGATTTGTTTTTGACGCACATAACCACTAAATGCACATGTAATCAAAAGATCAAATATACACACAAACATATGTTTCCCCTTTAACAAGACCAATACAACACACATCAGTATGAAGCTACTTCAGTTATTGACAACATTAGCAGACAGGTCAGCAGGAAACTGACCTAACAATTTTTTGATTTGTTAGGAATCCAATCCCAGACTTTTTTTTCTTTCAAATTACACTGGAGAACATTAGTATTCTAATCAAAGTATTATTAATTCCTGTCCTGACGATCTATGACTTGCCAATGAGAATTGCTTTTCTCCCATCCAATCCTAGTAGTCACTCTGTGTGAATATTTGTGTGTTTTGTGTTCATGCATGCTTGACTGAGGTTTGTATTAGACTGCACAAGTCTATGTAAATGTTGTCATACCTTAAAGGGGAACGGCCTGAGCAGCACACACTCTGATGTTCACATTTTACGTATTAGGATTTTCAAAATGCACAGATTCGAGATCCTATTGCCATAGGCAACAAGCAGCTGAAGGTAGATGAAAAGGAAAGAAGGAAGGGGAAAGGAGGAAAAAACAGCTGAAAGGGCCAGAGGTGGAAATCAAGGCAGAAGGAGAGGGAGAGTAAGGAGAGAGGGAAATGAGAGAGAAGAGAGACCACGGGAAGAATAAGAGGCACTGGACTTGAAAAATGGAAACCAGGTACAAGACAGAAAGATGGAGAGAAGGATAGCAGGAGGTGGAACAGACAGCTAATGGATTGTCTTTTGTGAGCAGACTCTGGCATGTCAACAGACTCTCATTTGCATGAACAAGCACTGAGCAGCAAAGAGTCAATGAGTCAGCCTC